ACCGAACCTCCCAACCGCTCCTTTTATTCTTTTTTATTCTGGGCCAGCTTTAGCTCTGGCTCCAGCTCTTAGGCCTCCACTGCTGAAAGCAGGTTTCTGGCCTTTGTTTACCTTCTATATTTGAAACTATGTTGTGATCCTGCTGGCTGAAGCCCAGTGGACTAAAGCATGTTTCTGGGGTTTTGTTTAGCTTCTATATGTGTAACATAGTTGCTTAGAGTTGCAAGCTCAAAGGCCGGCAAGGCAAGCGGGGAACGTTGGAGTCCTCCGTCACTGAAGCAAGCAAGCCTCATGTTTGCTTCAAGCTGCCTGGCTGCCAGCCACCATCTTGGCTGGCAGTTAATTTGCATTAGCCAATGGGAAGGGTAGCAGACGTATGGCTAATTACCATGTTTCTCTTTCGTTAGATAGAATAGCATGCGATTAGTACAACAACTCTATAGGGTGGGCATTTATATTATCCCCATCTTATAGATGAGGAAATTCCTCTATAAGAGAATTCAAGAGTTGAACTGATTAGTCCCGAATCCTATAGATTGTAAGTGGCACAGTCAAGATTAGGCAGGATCAGAGTAGTCTGGTTCTTTGATCTCAACCACTTCATATGTTCTAAATACCTATATCAATTGGTCAGGCGCTTAGAAGTCTTAGAGCCTAGCACAGTACTTGCAATATTGCTTAAATGCTGATGTTGAATAGGTGATTTACAGTCAATACACTGAGTGTGATATGACTCCCATATTTTTTCCAACTGTGCAACCACAGTTAGCCTTCCCTCCTTTATTTGTAAAATGGAAAATGCAAATGTCTACCTAACGGGGTTTTTGCAAAGATTAGTTGAAATAATACATGTGAAAGTAACTAGTGTCATATCTGGCAAATAATAACAAATTTGTACATGTTTCCAAATCCTTTTGGATACCATACCATGAAATAGCTGTCCATTTTTATCAAGGCGATAATGTGAGTGCTGTTCCTGAAAACATGTATATTTTAAAATTCACTTTAAGGCCCAACCATTGTGGCTCAGTGTTTGAGCATCGATCTATGTACCAGGAGGTCACGGTTCAATTCCTGGTCAGGGCATATGCCCAGGTTTCGGGCTCAATCCCCAGTGGGGGCATGCAGGAGACAGCCAGTCAATGATTCTGTCTTATTGATGTCTCTATATCTCTCTCCTTCTCCTTTCCTCTCTGAAATCAATAAAAATATAGTTTTAAAAAATAAAATAAAATTAACTTTAAGGATTAGGAAAATATGGGTTTTTTCCCTTGTTCAATCCTTCTTTCAACCAAGGGTGTACTTGTAGCAGGTACAAGTTTAATAGTGAATGACTTGATCACCTACAGAAGAAACCAGTGTCCTTGATCTTTATCACCCCCAATTGAGCCAACTGACAAAGTCCTTACTGGTTATGGCAAAGCTAGGATCAGGGAATGCCATGTTTAGTCCTTCAAGACAATTTAACCACCCTCTTTTTTGCTAGCTTTTATTTTTATTCCTTTAAAGGGAACAGGCCCTAAAAGCAAAATAAATGAACATTTGATATGCCCATATCTGATGCCCTGAGCCTGGCTGTCAGGAGGGTGCCACAGCTTCTATTTCAGAACAACAAAAGAACCGTTAATAGCCAAAAGAAAAAAGAAGCCCACACATGCAGTGTGACTGTCATTTGCACTTCTTTGTAACAGTCTAGACATACTTTATGGGCTGTTATCCAATGTGATAATTGGCAAGTAGGTCTTTGCCCATGAACTGGGCTTACCTATGAATTATTATTTGCAGGTTGCATGCCATTATTGGTCTGCTTGCTTGTGGTGTGGCCTTCCTACATTTAACAGAAGTCTCGCTGTTCTTTCAAAAAACAGAGGTCTTAGAGGGTCGGCCCTGTGTAATAGGCAATTACTTAATATGAAACATTAGTTTGGAATTTATAGCACATAACTAGATGAGAATGTGAGTCCCATTTTTGAATTGGCTTTGTGTTTAGTTTAGAACCCAGTTTTGAAAATCATTTGGGCATTGCTATTTATTTCAAATCTATTTCTTTTCAAAAATAAGTTAGAATTGTGTGGTTGACAGGTTGAAACCTGTGAATGTCCAATCTGATTATTGCTAGTGCATTTGTTACAAATTGAAAGATAAAAGTGACTGCCCTTCGAAAGGCAGTTTTTCATTGTGTAGTATTTTGTGCACCAATTCCAAACATCAGAGAACTCTTTTAATCAGTCTGATATTTTTGCCAGCTTTTCAGTGCATGCAGATGTTTAATTAGCAGAGTTAAGAGGTAATGTGCTAATAGGAGACTGAGAACAACAGATTGGTGAGAGAGGTGGTAGTGACATCTGAAATCTATAGAAAATCTGTTAATATAATTTGCTGAATGATGGGAGAAAGGAGAGAAGAAGGGGACTTCTTATTGAAACAAATACACAGTTGTCATCAGTGAAAGAAATATGTATGCAGAGAAGTGGAAATCAGGGCAGAAGTACACTGAACAAACAGGGATGGCAAGAAAGAAGTAAACTGCATTTTAAATCAAAGTAGTGTCTGTGGTACATGGAATTTGAAAGGACCTCATGTGGGGAAAAATATTTGCTGGGAGCCCTAGGGCTACTGTTCCAACCACCTACTCTTGGTGTTCCTGGCTTTCATTGCCCCCAGCTGTGGTACATCCCTCTCCATCTTGGTGGGAGCAGACCTGTCAGGAAGAGAGAGCAAGCACAAGAGCTGCATGGAACCAGTGCCTGTAACTTTCCTCAGCAGCCTAAGGAGCCACTGCTCTGTCTGAGCCTCCCTATTCTACTACAAGCCAAGAAGATTAGCATCTCTATATTTACTCTTGTTAAACATCTAAATTGGGACCACTTGTCTGCTTTGAGGACCTTGGAAGGACTTTAATTTTTTTTTCTTATTGGGTGTGGAATGAAGTGTCCATATGCTGTTAATCACTCTGACCCTCTCTCTTTGTGTGCAACTCTCTTACAACACTCCTTGCATTTTAAACTAGTATAAGCCAGCTGTTTTAGACACCTATTTCTCCTACTAGGCTCTGAGCTCCTGAAAACAGGAAAAGAGGTGTTTTATAAAACTCTTTGTTTCCCTAGCACCTGATGCAGTGTTTTGTACCTATTAGAGTCTCCATGGTTTCCCCTCCTCCCGTAACCCCTGTGCCCCACGTCCTTCCTCTACCAAAGAATAAAGCCTCTATGTGATTTTTTCTTGGAATAAATGTGGATTCAGGAAGAATCCACATGGGAATACCAATTTCTATTTTGAATTATTAGTTGATAAAATATTGGGGAAAAAATTTTAAAATACCAATAAATTGCCCTGGCTGGTGTGACTCAGTTGGAGCATTGCCCTGTGCACCAAACTGTCTCGGGTTTGATTCCCAATCAGGGCATACCCAGGTGGCAGGTTTGATCCCCAGATGAGGTCTTTATGTGAGGAACCAATTGATGTTGCTCTCTCACATCGTTGTTTCTCTCTCTCCATCTCCCTTCCTTTCTCTTTAAAAACAAAACAAAACATAAATTCAAGTTAGTGAGAATTTGTTAATTGTGTGCTCATACTTGTTCATGGTGTTAGAAATTTAGAATAATTATAAGAGAGAGTTGCTAGCCCAAAGGATGGTCTTGCTGAGGAAAAGGAAACTTTTAAAGAGTGCTATCTCACAGAATACTCTATCTAAATGCTAAACAATGTAATAATACAGCCCACAAATGCTAGAGAAATCAAGAAAGAAAAATTGATGAACAAAATAATTTGAATTTTACTGATGTGCTGTATAAACTCAGAATGAGTGATAATTCATGATAAATGTGGATTTAATAGATTCTGAACTCATATATGGACAGTTATCCTTGACTGTATTCAGATGTTTCTCCATTTGTGCCGATTTTAAACTATGTTGTTTCTTTATAAGCTACATTTCAACACTTTTTTTTTTCCAGATGGTTTGACGGACTGTGTGGACCCTGATTGTTGTCAACAAAGCAACTGTTATATAAGTCCTCTCTGTCAGGGCTCACCAGACCCTCTTGACCTCATTCAGCAAAGCCAACCCCTATTCTCTCAGCATACTTCAAGACTCTTCTATGATCGAATCAAATTCCTCATTGGCAAGGACAGTACTCATGTCATTCCTCCAGAGATTTCATTTGACAGCAGGTATATGTGTATTTATTTTATTCTTTAATGAACAGTGGTCATGTTTTCCCTGAAATGTGAAAGGAAGGTATTTTCTAAAGATCAGGTTACTTCCCATTCCACCCAGTCCACATTGTTATTTTTTAGGCTTACCTGGAATGTTCACGCCCTTACTGATTAGTTAATGGAGAGAACTCATTTCTAGAAATTCTAAATCATAAAAGATAGGCACACACACACGCACACTTGTGTTGTGTATTAATTGTAGTGAAGTATAGATGGGTCTTTTAATGACAAAAAAAAACCCAAGAAACAGATGGAAGTATAATTTGCAAATTCACTGTTTAGCTTCTGGATTGATCCCTGAAAGCTTCTTGAATTTCAACAGCTAAACTTTAAGTTTTATTCCATGTGTAAATTTTTCCATATGAAAGAATTGGGTGAATTGGACTTCCTAACATGAAATGCAAGACTTGTGAAAATCTGTCTTCTATGAAAGCTCAAATACATGAGTTGTCACTCAAGATCTGAGACCAAAGTCCAACCCGTTAGGTGAAGAAAGTTTTTTTTTAATTGCTTACTTATTTGAAGTGTAATAACATGAATTTGCTCATTGTTATTCTCTGCTTCATCTTCAGCAATGACATATTTTACTCATTAACACGAGGTATAAGTAAGTCACTGAAGTCAACATTTCTGGTCTCTTATATTTGTCCTTCTTTGTTCATGCCACAAGCTGATATTTCACTAGCTTCTAGACTATTGCAAACAGGAGCTTAAAAAATAAACATGGAAATTATTTGTCCAGGAGCTTCAGTCTGCACCTCACCCACTCAGTTGCGTACTAGTGGATGGTATCAGTCCCCAAGAAAAACTCAGTCAAGAGGTTATATTGAAACCAGTGACAATATAAGGAAATTAAAACTCACTTTAGACCTACACACAGAAGAAAAAGGGGGGAGACATGTGCATGCAAATTTAAAATACTGAGTGTTCTTCCCACAGATTGTGTACTATAACTGTTATTGAATTTAAATCTTATTCATTATTTTTATTATTATGACATTCTGACCTTTTAGGTCTCTGGCAGAACCGAAAACCCAAATGCTAGTGCATCACAATAAAGGCCTTTTCTTCCAGGTGATCTAGTCAAAGCTTGCCTTTGCCAAGATACTTAGTCATTCCCATTGTGAAGCACTTCTCCCAACTTAATAACTCTGGGGTAACTTTTGAATGGGCTACAGTAAAGGTAATTATTTAGTTAGTGGAGAATTATTTCTTGTATACCAGAGGAACAAAGGGAACAAAAACAGCCCTTATTCCCATTTCCCTATGTAAAGTCATGTTAAGTCATCAACTCTGTGTGGCTTTCTCCATGTATAGAGAAGTCAGTCCAAAAAGAAATAACAACCTTCATGACATGGTGCTATATTAAAAGACTCACTGAACTCAAGTAAAGTGAGAAAGTCAGGACCTGAGAGAGACAAGAGACAAGCCATTGTAACCCAGAGCAGGGCGTTTGAGCAATAAACTTAGAAAAGTGAGAAGAAACTTCAACCCCTGCTGTTCAGATTCATGCTTCAGTGGTGCTCAGCAGCCGCTTACCAAGTGAACAAACCTATTACTTGTGGTGGTTAATGCCCTCCTGGTTTGATGAGTTTTCCTCATTCTTTTGTTAAATGTTCCAAGTTATCATTTGGCTCTGCAAGTCACATTTGAATTCAGAATGGTAGGTCTCCTCCATCCAGTGGTCTCGGTTATTACAGACATATCTAATCTGTCAGAAAAGGTATGGGCCTTTTCCAAGGGAAATAGTTGAGGACACACAATCTAACTATATTTCCTCTAAAAATCAGCACATGCAGTGTTACTCTGGATAAAATAAATTCAACTCTGATCACACATATAAATAATCATTGTCACAAGCTCTTACATCTACATAGTACATAGAGTTTGCAGAGCACTCAAACATACATTATTTTCTAACATCACAATATATCTGTGAAGTAGGTATCTGTATTGGTATATTTTACATATGAGGAAACTAAGGTTCAGAGAGATTAAATAACATGCCCAACACCACACAGCCAGTGAATTTGGATTGTAACAACTCTTGTAACCTTTCTGTTATACCACAACTGCCCAATTTCAACTTGTCCTTAAGTAAACCTGGTGGCTTAGATCAAATGTATACTAGACAAATGGCGTCTGTGTCCACACAAGAAACTTAGAAACCAAGTGATGTTTAAAAACCCAGTTCAATCTAATACATTTTAATGACATTATTTATAAACTTCAAACCTGTGCTAATGAACTTCCTCTTGGTAGAGGAACACAATTGAATGACTGGTAAAGTGGGTCGTTTGCTACATGGAAATTTTTATTGAGCACTTACTATGTGTCAGGTCTTGTACTACGTTTTAACATGTGTTATCTCACTGAATCATCCAAAAGCCCTATATGGTAGACCCTGTTATTATCCCCACATGTCAGGTGAGACAACAAGAACTGAGATGTCAATTATGCCTTTTGCCCCAGGTTACAACCAATGAGTGTCATGGTCAACATTTGAACCCAAGCAGACTGATACTTAGAGCTGACTCTAAACCACTAGGCTGAGCCACTTTGGCTACCTAGAAGGCTAGGATAGCTGATGACCTTAAAAGGACTTATGGCCCTTATTCATCCCTGACTGTGGAGTGGCCCTCCTCAAACTGCTGTAGAACACTTATGTGCCATAATCAGGTGAACCACTCTGTGTTTTTGCTTTTGCTATGTAATTGAAAGATAGCTGGGTAGGCAGATGAAGAAAGCAGTGCCAAGGGGCTCATTTGCCTACTGGCAAAACATGACCCACGCAGATGACTCGCTGTTGAGTGCTGCCACCATTAAAAGGCTTTGGAGCTAAACACGGTGGCAAGGACACAAAAAGGTTAAATAACTGTTCAGCCTTGTGCATCCAAGTGAGACTAGACTTTCTTGTTCTGAATTTGCTGCATTGGCATGTGAAGCACATGGAATGTGTGCCCCTGTGCCCCATGATGGTGCATTGTAACTGTGAACATGCACCCTGCCCACAGTGGAGTCTCTAACGAGCCCAACTCAATTACCGTTTTTGCTAAATACATTTTACCCGGTAGCCTTTCTTTTTTTCAGTCTCGTCCAAACATGACTACAAAGTAAACCACATATTCTGCGTGCTCTGTATGACTTATTACTTTTTAATAATGTAAATAGGTGAACAGAAGCATTATTGATCTTCAGTGTCTAAGCATTTAATCACTATTAATAATGTAAAAGGTTTTTATAAATATGTAAAAACAAGAGTACATTAAACTAAGTGACAGCAGTAATTTGCAAAGCCAGACATTTCACTTGCCATCACTAATGGAGAAGTGCGTTTAAAAAACAAAATCTTACCAGGGTTACTGCAACCACTGACAGCAAGGTCTGGCCAAACTCATTTGTCTGTTTTGTAGCTATGAGAGGCCGATATCCACATCAATCCATGTCAAGTGTCTACATCAGAGATTGCTTAATATCAGCCCACAGATGTATTTCATTTGGCCCAACATTTAGAATTAGGAAATCTAATAGAAAAAAATTGGAATGTCTTGCTTGTCTAGAAAACTTACAAAGTTTGCATCTCTGGGCCTATGGACGTGGCATAGGTGCTCTGAGCTGAGAGCAAGCTCCCCTCTGGATTGGATGGGATATGCCTCTCTAGCTCACCATTCACTGTCTTGACACCTGGCTCACTTCCCTCACTTTCAGTGTCATGCCTGGCCCTGATGGCATTTGTAAATATTATTTGTAATAACATATGTAATTACATATGTTATTATATGTAAGCAGGTGAAAAAAAGTCCAGAGTTTGTAACCTCTGGACTACAGAGCTTCTATAGAATTCCTTGGAAAGACCTCTAGTATTTATTTGTGTTTTTTTCTGGTCTATTTCCCTGAGAGTCTTTAAAAATCTAACCTTAACTTTTTACTGAATTTTTGAAACTTTACTATGTTGGTTTAAAAAGAGAAAAACGTTATTACTGAACATGAACTAGAAAACACATCAATGAAACAATATTTACTGGGATGCTTGTGTATACCTCGTGAATAAGTCGCTATACACTCTGCCTCACATCTTATACTAATAAGCTTCCCCAGGGCAGTGGATTTTAACCTATAGCATCTTCCATCCCATCAGTCATGACTTCACATAATCTAGGTCCCACCATAATAAAAGCAAAATGTTCACTTTCTATGAGAAGGATGTGTATGTTGAGAAATATTTGACTATTATGTTTATCACTTAGAATAAGTTTTAAGAACAATTTAAAAATCTGAACATTTGCAGCAATGCTGCTGGGTGCAATTGTGGCAGCCTCCTGTGCCCACTCCTGGTAGAATGCCTACCCTTAGTTGAAAAGTTCTAGAGTTGGGACCAGACTCAGTATAGCACTAGGCACATAATAGCACTGTTAATAGGGTACACAACAAAGAGGATAAACAAGATGCTAGGTTTCTTCTACCTAGTTTCTATTAAGCTGCTGTATTTCAATTTCGTACACCACACTGGGATGTACAATATTAGCTCTGAATTGTCTTAACTGTGATAATCTTAAGTTCTGTGAGGACAAGGACCAAGTATGATTTGTTCTTTCCTTGTTTTGATTACCTATCACTGTGTAGCAAACTAAAACATAATGGAATAAGACAATTTTTATTATTGTACTTTATGATTCTATGGGTCAGAAATTCAGATAGGGTATAGCCAGGATGGCTTGTCTTTTCTCCATGAGATTTGTACTCTCAGTTGGGATGACTCATATAGCTGGGGGTGGGCTAGGGGCTGGAACAGATGAACAGCAGTCAGGAATCTCTCTTCCACACACAAACTTCTTACTTGGGCTTCATATTGGCAGGACAGCCTGGCTTGGGTTTGTCAGAGCTTTTACACTGTGGATCAGGGTTCTAAGAGGGAGTGTTCCAAGAGACAGGAAATGGAAGATGCAAGTCTCGTA